TTCCTTGAATGTGATTAGATTTAGAAGTCTACATTTAAACTGTTAAAGTATAATAGCGATCGTGTTTAGAGGACTTGGAGGAAACCACGCGATTCATATGTAGTAACGTTAGGTGATGTTTTTTTGCGATTAACTTTTTCAAACGTGAACAGTTTTGGTGAATCGTTTATCGGAGGGATATAAATCTCTCGGGTTTCATTACAATATCTCAGTTTTTCTTTCGAAGATTAACGGAATTCTTTAGTAATGTAGCCATCCTTTACATTACAAATCAGATATGATGACACACGGACTGTGAAAAGGGTCTCTTAGCCAATATTTGCCTTTACCCTTGTTAGAAAATGCCATAACGAAAGGTTTGTGTCGTGGAAAAAAACACTTAAGTTATTTTTTGTTGTTGTTGTTGGTTGTTTTTTTCCCCCTAAGGTTTGTTTGGGAAAGGATTGTAAAATTTAAAAAAGAAAAGAAAATCGTGTTTTGTTCATATTTAAGATACGTAGGCCTACTGTATGCTGTAGTTTAATAATTTTAGTTTAAGCTTGCCACTTGTGTTCTTTTTCCCCGCCTCTACTATAAGGTCTGTTTGGACTTCTTCGTGAATAACGTCTCAAAAAAATTAAAGTGTTTTTCAAGAAAGCGATGCTGTTTGTTTGTACATTACATAGCCTACCTGTGCTGTATTGTGTGGTATCCTTTTAAACTATGGGTGTTTACATTTACATGAATTACGTTTACTTTTACTTTTATCAAGTATAATTTTAGCATAAATGAGGCAGAAAATGCTACTGATAACACAGTAATAGTGTACTTGACCTACCTGTGCTGTATTGTGTGGTATCCTTTTAAACTATGGGTGTTTACATTTACATGAATTACATTTACTTTTATCAAATATAATTTTATCAAGTATAATTTTAGCATAAATGAGGCAGAAAATGCTACTGATAACACAGTAATGGTGTACTTGACTACTATGGGTGTTTACATTTACATGAATTACATTTACTTTTATCAAATATAATTTTATCAAGTATAATTTTAGCATAAATGAGGCAGAAAATGCTACTGATAACACAGTAATAGTGTACTTATACCTCAGTGTATTTTCTGCCTCATTTATGCTAGCCTACCTGTGCTGTATTGTGTGGTATCCTTTTAAACTATGGGTGTTTACATTTACATGAATTACATTTACTTTTATCAAATATAATTTTATCAAGTATAATTTTAGCATAAATGAGGCAGAAAATGCTACTGATAACACAGTAATAGTGTACTTGACTACTTTTTAAATAAACCATTATTTAATTGTTTTATAAAGGTACTGATAACAGTTAAAATATATTTGAAATAAATTATTGATTTGTATATATTATATATTCTTATATTTTAAATAATTTATAAGTGTATTTAAAAATGCATTAAAGATGGGTTCAATTGTACTAAAGGGGATAACAAAATAACAAAATTAAAGCTGAAATAGTATGTTAAAAGCATATTTTAGTTAATCTTCAGTGTGTGTCAAAATAGCACAGTTGAGTACACTTAGTTGATCTTAAGTTTATCTTAAGAAGTACTAAAGTTAAGCTTTTAGTATATTAAGTACAAAATTAGTGCACGAAAATAGAGCACTTTAAGTACATTATGGAAGTGTACTAAGTGTACTTAAATAAAATGTATTTTAGTGAACTTTTTTTTCACCTGGGTTGATCTGCAAACAAATCCTCTCCAATTCTCACGCTTAGTTTTGCTTGATATCCCTGTCACGGTGGGACCGGGAATAATTCCGTGGATTCAGGTGCAGAGAAGTAGTATTTTATTAAGACAAAACATAAAATAAACAAACCAAATCTAAATCCAAAAACAGACAAGGCAGGGCAGGAACAGGCACAGAATACAACACGTGTAACAAATACAACGAACGAGCACAGGACAGCAAACACAGGAAGACTAAATAGGGAGGCAAACAAGGAGGGTAATGAGACAGACAGGTGGAGCAAATAAACCAATAATCAGATAACAAGGGGGAGGGATCAAACAATGACAAGAGCACATGGCTCAAAATAACAAAACACCCATGTGCATCACAAGACAGACATGTGACAACTCCCTCCCTACGGAGCGGCTACCAGACGCTCCATCAGACCAGGGCGGGACAGGAGGGACAGGCCAGGGGGGGGACGGGAGGAACAGACCAGGGCAAAACACAGAGTCCATCGGGCGGCCAAGGCGAAACACAGAGTCCATCGGGCGGCCAGGGCGGTGAAGACCCCTCGGGCGGCCAGGGCGGTGAAGACCCCTCGCCCCTCGGGCGGCCAGGCCGGTGAAGACCCCTCGGGCGGCCAGGGCGGTGAAGACCCCTCGGGCGGAGCAGACCCCTCGGGCGGCCAGGGCGGAGCAGACCCCTCGGGCGGCCAAGGCGGTGATGCCCTCTCAGGACCAGACACCGGCTCGGGAACAGACACTGGCTCGGTAACAGACACCGGCTCAGGAACACTCATAAGAACTGTAACATCCACAAGAACAGACACAAACACAGGAACAGACACTGGCTCTGGCACTGGAACAGGCACTGGCTCTGCCTCCGGCTCTGGAACAGGCACTGGCTCTGCCTCCGGCTCTGGAACAGGCACTGGCTCTGGAACAGGCACTGGCTCTGCCTCCGGCTCTGGAACAGGCACTGGCTCTGCCTCCGGCTCTGGAACAGGCACTGGCTCTGCCTCCGGCTCTGGAACAGGCACTGGCTCTGCCTCCGGCTCTGGAACAGGCACAGGCACTGGCTCTGCCTCCGGCTCTGGAACAGGCACAGGCACTGGCTCCGGCTCAGGAACAGCAGACACTGGCTCCGGCTCAGGAACAGCAGACACTGGCTCCGGCTCAGGAACAGCAGACACTGGCTCCGGCTCAGGAACAGCAGACACTGGCTCCGGCTCAGGAACAGCAGACACTGGCTCCGGCTCAGGAACAGCAGACACTGGCTCCGGCTCAGACTGGCTCCGGCTCAGGAACAGCAGACACTGGCTCCGGCTCAGACTGGCTCCGGCTCAGGAACAGCAGAAACTGGCTCTGCCTTCGGCCCCGGAGCATCCACCGGCATGTCCAGGATCCGAGCCAGACGCTCCAGATAGTCCAGCATAGCCTTGGCGGCCACGCGAATGGGCATCTCTTGCTCTGTCCCAGACTGGACAGACGGGACGTGAGCAGTCTCTGACTGGGCAGACGTGACGTGAACAGTCTCTCGCTGGGCAGACGTGACGTGAACAGTCTCTGACTGGGCAGACGCGACGTGAACAATCTCTGACTGGGCAGACGGAACGTGAACAGTCTCTGACTGGGCAGACGGAACGTGAACAGTCTCTGGCTGGGCAGACATGACGTGAACAATCTCTGACTGGGCAGCCGGAATGTGAACAGTCTCTGACTGGGCAGACGAGACGTGTCTTCCCCCTTCTCCTTCTCCGTCCCTTCTGACGGATCTGTGCAGACTCGAGGTTGGTCAAAACCATATACGGAATCCCAACGCTGGACGGACTCAACGACGATGATCCCATTCCCGAAGAGACTCCCATTCCCGAAGAGACCAGTGAGGAAGACTCTGCTGCCCTCCTCTCCTCATTCCTCTGGGCACACAGAGAGAAATATTTAAAAAGAGAAATCCCATTCTCTCTCTCAGCCGGACAAAGTTCGCTCCGCTGAATCCACATGTGGCTCGTTCGTTCTGTCACGGTGGGACCGGGAATAATTCCGTGGATTCAGGTGCAGAGAAGAAGTATTTCAATAAGAAAAAACATAAAATAAACAAACCAAATCTAAATCCAAAAAACAGACAAGGCAGGGCAGGAACAGGCACAGAATACAACACGCGTAACAAATACAACGAACGAGCACAGGACAGCAAACACAGGAAGACTAAATAGGGAGGCAAACAAGGAGGGTAACGAGACAGACAGGTAGAGCAAATAAACCAATAATCTGATAACAAGGGGGAGGGATCAAACAATGACAAGAGCACATGGCTCAAAATAACAAAACACCGATGTGCATCACAAGACAGGACAGACATGTGACAATCCCAGTGCCGAATTTGCCTTTTATTATGGTTTTTTTTTTTTTAAGCACCAACTGGGCCAGCAGCAGTAACTGATCCTGCGTCCAGTTGGGCTTTCTTTTCCGTTTTGGCGAGTTCATAATCCACCGTCATTCAAATATTACATTACTTCAATAAGAGCAACATTTCCTTGCTTTAAGTAGTCTATTTAGGCTAATAGGATGTCAATTAACCAAGCAAGTGTTAATGCAAGTGTCGTTTTTCATTATTAGGCAAGTGGCGGTTTTCATTGGGGTATTAGGCTACCTTGATTTAATTTAATTGAATTCACGACTTTTCTCTCTCTCTCTCTCTCTGCCTTTTTAGAATTACACTTCACTGGGGCCTGCACAAACATGTCATTATATATGCATTTCGATGACATTACTATTAATATTTTGTGTAGGACACAGACATATTTAGATGTCGTAATTCCATGATTTGTTGCGTCTGTTTTATGTTCCGCATGATGGCCCTGTCATCTAACCACCAATCACCATGATCATTGCGAGGAAGCTCGTGCATGAAAATTGACGTCATCCATAGCAACGAAGACTCATTCTTAGTTTAGGAGTTGTCATTTTTCCTTACTAAGAGTATGTCTGAAAGGCGTTGTGAATAACTTTTAAGAGAAAACTCCTAGCTAAAATATTTTAGTGCGATTTAGGAGTACTCCTACTGGTAAGATAAAATTCTTTGTGAATACGGCCCCAGGTGTCAAACTCCGCTCTTTGAGGGCCACTTTCCTACAGAGAGTAGCTCCAAAACACCTGTCTGGAAATTGTGTGTTTAATTAGAGTTGGAGCTAAACTCTTCAGGAGTTTGACACCCCTACTATAGATAATTTATCATCAAGCATTTATCAACACAAGACTTCCAAAAAGCACAACAAAACTTTTATTATTTATTAATAAACAGTTAATTCATATTGTTTTAAGACAAGACAGTCAAGTGAGCTCTTAAAAAGGAGCAAAGATTTGGAATGACAGCAGCCCATGTTGGCTCACTGGTGTCCCACCCTGAAGAGGCCACAGATCCGCCACATATACAGAGAGAACAGGGGAAACTCATCTGCGAGAGTGAACGCTTTAGTTTCCAGGTCGATCACAAGCTCCTGATTTACATTACAATTAGTGTTCTGTGCAAGTTGTTCCAGTAGCCAAAACACATAGAAGGAATTCTGATAGTGGATCCAGTCCATCGGATGCTGCAGCTCCTCTCTGGACCTCTGCACGAGACAAATCCCTACCATTATTGAGCCATTATATACAGCATGCACATGTATGTATGGCAACATCATTGTTTATCAAGCCAGATTAATATACAGGCTTATGGTCACATAATAATGGAAAAAATTGTACATAAATTGTATATAAATTAAAATCCACCCACACTGAGTTTAATTAATTGCAATATCTATACTCCTAATGATACTCCTTTTATAGAACACTTTTACAAACGAGTAATTCATATCCAGTAACTTATGTTTCAGACCAAAATTGGCCAGTTAGAACTTTTTTTTTTTTTGTCTGTCCACAGATATCATACAGTGCTTAGCATAAGTGAACACACCCATGCTAAAGTTGACTAAAAAGAGGAATAAAAAAATCATCTTTTGTAATTTTTTCTTAAAGGGGTTATATAATGGTACATGCACTTTTACAAGTTGATTGTACTGAAAAGTGGGATGGCAGTGTCTGTACACAACCATCATATAATGATAAAAATCCATCCAGTGGTTTTGTTTTAATCTCCTTATATGTTTTCCCCTGCCTCAAATCAAGCCGTTCGAGCCTGTGACGTCACAAGCTCGCACGCCCCTCCCACGATTGTTGATTGACAGCATCGTTTCAACACAGACCCGCCCTCGCTCATGAGGGAGCTGTCAATCATAGTCTGCGCGGGGCGGACCGGCGCGGTCATTGTTGATATGCTGGAGCACTGTCTATGAGCAGAATAGCGTCTAAGCGATTGTGGTGTTCTGTTCTTGGGTGTAATAACGAACACAGCAGTCATTTTAATGTTCCTAAATCCGAACCGCTGAAGACGCAGTGGCTGTGTTTGTTTTCGAAGGGAATATTCCCCACGAGCAACGTCAATGTTCTCATGTTTGCGCGAATCATTTCTCACCAGACTGCTTATAAACGAGGATCAGTATAAAGCTGGATTTGCTAAGAAGCTGCTCATGAAAAATAGATCGGTACCAGATATTCGTGTTCCTGCTGAATCTCCAGAAGAACGGAAGTGAGTGTAACGTTTTATTAAACTTTATATTAATATATTAATCTTTGCAAATCGCTAGCTGCACGCTTCACAATGAATGAGTCTAAGGTTTACACTCAGGGTACATTACGGCATGTTTTCTATGTATGACGTTCTCAATATAATTCATAATCCCACGTTTATACTGAACAACGCGTTATGGTTATTGTGTTATCGAGTTACAAACGGTGTATGCACAGAACAGAGAGGCGGGGTTGAGCAAAGCTCATTATAATTTAAAGTCATATGCACTGAAACGGCGTGCTGAAAACAGAGCTGTTTTTGACCAGGTAAAATAAGTGTTTTCTTACAATACTAATGAGAATGTTTAATTAAAGTATATTACAAACTTTTAATTTAGACCCTAAAGAATCATATTAGCTTGTACAAAAATGGCATTATATGACCCCTTTAATGCCTTAATTAAAAAAAATGAGGAAAACTCCAACCTTTCAGGACACCATGAATGAATAATGTATCGTAAATAAATAAATGTTCTTTCTTAAAATATAGTCAGGACACCCCTATGTTAAATTCCCTTAGAGGCAGGCAGATTTTTATTTGTAAAGGCCTGTTATTTCATCCAGGATACTATGCATCCTGATAAAGTAAGTTCCCCTGACCTTTGGAATTAAAATAGCCCCACATCCTCACATACCCTTCACCATACCTAGAGATTGGCATGGTTTTATTTCAGTTAGCCTAATAGCTGGCTTGATTTGCATTGAGATGCTTTCAAATCTTTCATTTGGGCTGTTTGATGTTTCCAGCATTTTGCACATACCAGATTCAGTGCTGCACTGCAAAGTTTTAAGTAATGGGCTATATATATATACAGTATATATATAATCTGTGTAAGGGCTTTTTTGAAAAATACCGGAACCATGCGAAATTTCTAAGTTTTAGTTCCGAAAACGGTTCTGGTGCAATGTGTGGGCAAAGTGCTGGGAGCTTATACTTTAATTGCGACGTCTTGCCTCATGAATATGAATATAGTAATGAATGCACTGAAAAGCCCTCACACATACGCTTTACGTCAGATATCAATGCTGAGAGAGAGTATAAAACAGTAGAGCTGCATGATTAATCTTTAAAAAATCTCGATCTCGGTTCAAACGCCCACGTGATCTTAAATGACAAAAAAATAATAATAATACACCGGAACATTCAAATCTGTTTGCGCTGTCGCTGACCCAGAGAGAGCAGTTATATAGCAGCAATATATAGGTATGAAACAGCTTCACTTTCAACAGGTTTATAGTTCGGGTATAAACACTGATGTCTACGGTAGCAACCAAAATAGAGTAAATCACCTATTCAAATCAAAGTCACTTCAAAGAACGAGTGTATTTGCACATAGCAACATTGTGATGGCCCAGATCCGGCCCACATCTGGCACATGTGGAATACTGATCTGGCCCACATGCAGTGTGGAATGACGGCCCTTGGGTGGCCCACTCCTGTTTGCCAGATCTGGGCCACAAGCAGGCCATAGCAATGCCACATGTCAGCCAAGAGCAAAGAAACAAACCAGAACTGGACCTTATTTGAGCCACAAAATCGGTGTTAAATATGGAGTCATCTATCTGTTAACAAGCCAAATCACTGAAGGAAAGAAGAGAACAGAAAATGAGACGAGCAGAAACACAAAGAACTACTTCAGAGAGAACCACATTTGATTTGACTAGATTGAAGGTTGAGAAAATGCCTGGAGAACATAAAAGTAAAAAAAAAGGCTCCTGAGTGAAAACTGTGCAACCTAGTGTCACAAAACAATATTCAACAATATTATTGATCTGCCTTACTTAAGGTGGACGTTGATGCAATTTTCTTCTAGAAACAAACTTTGTTGTATTATTTTCATGTTATCACTGTGAAGCTGCTTTGATAAGTGCTATATAAATAAAGGTGACTTGATTTGACTTGACAAAAAGACTTGTATAAATGTATCACAGTTCATTTTTCAAGTTTGAAGTGTTAGATATAAAATCTCCAGTTTTTTTTTAATTGCCTATTTAAATTCTATGTACAAACTTACCACACACAGTAAGAAAGAAAAATTGAAAAAAGACATCTTGCACTTGAAGACAGCATATTGTGTTGTAATTTTACAGTCGAAAACCCCCCAAAATATAAAAAAATAAATAAAAAACTATTTTAGATTCAGGTTCTAAAAGATTAATATGTATGGTTTGATATACAGTATCTTTAGAATTTCTTAACCAATACATTGTAATACATACAATTTTATTTTAAAATATAGTCATTCATATATTTTAAGGTGCTTCAGTAATACGGTCAATAATACTGCAACTTACTGATTTAAGTTTCATTAGAAAAATGCATTAAAATAACCCCTTAAACCCGAAGTGTCCCAACACCGCCCAGCCCCCGCGAAAAAAACCCATAATCAAATTACTAAGCAACCACTGAATGGAAAAACAGGAAAATAGGTATCATTTTGATGCATCTAATCACTTTGATCAACTCCTAACGAGTGCTGAGTAATCCCTCTAAAAGGGAGTGTACCGCTGCGAAAAAAATAATAATCATATTTTTCTAAAATATTCCCTTGATCAACTTAAAATAGGTGTCATTTAAAAGCTTAGAGTCTGAAATTTACAATGAATGTAGCCAATTTGATAAACTCCTAAGTAGTGCTGAGTTATTTGCTGATAAATAGAAAAAAAAATGTTTTTTTTTACTTTTTTGTACTACATACTGCAATTTGTCAAATACATCATACAGCTCAGATAGTCCTGTGTCATATGTCATTTGAAAGGTCACAATGAGTAGAATACAAAAAGCATAATTGTTTCAGGCTTTTTTTTTTTTACTGAGCTTGAGCGAGGTTTTGTACAAGAAGCCCCTCAAGAGACCCATATGTAAATCATATATGGATGCTGAATTTATGTCAGGGTTCTGTCACTTCTGTCTAGTTTATAGGTGTGTTCGACTTCATGCAGCTCTGCGCAGACCGATCGGTGGCTGACTTGAAGCAGTGCATGCCGGTTAGAAATTTAGTTTGACTTGATACAGCGCCGACGCCACATGACTGTGACGTATGCCATCAAAGTACCGCGAGAGCGTTTCGAGAGTAGCCGGAAGACTCAGCCAGCGCAGCTTCTCAAGAGCAGCTGCACAAGCTCTGATGACGACACAGCTGTTCCACGACTGCTGTTTGACTCCACTTCATTGATATAGGCTTGAACTTTATTCTTGTTCAAACAGATTCTGTAGCCTATGAAGTAGTAAACTATTGAATGAAAATGTGTCTGAAATATCTGTGTATTTGGCAAATATTGCATTTATTTCACTTCAGCTGTGGTAAAGCTGATTGTGATCGGTTACATCCAGCCGCAGCCGATGTCGAACACACCTTATCTTGGTTTGGTGACAGAGCTCTGACACTTCCGCTTTGTCATGTGCTTGTGTTATAGTCCTGTCTGTTGTGAGCACATGGCTTGTCATGTGTTTCCTTGTGCAATGTGCTCTCCTGTCGATTGTCTAGCCCAGGGGTTCTCAACCTTTTGCAAGCTGGGCCCCCCCAAAGCTGGTTCATTGCAGATACACCCCGCCAGGGGCGATTCTAGGATTTTCATTTTAGGGGGGCCTAAAAGGGGGCCATTTATGATTTTTTTTTTTTAAAGAAAAAAAAAGTAACACTTTAGTTTAGGGTCTAATGCTCACTATTAACTAGTTTCATTGACATGCATATGGCAGGGTTTTATAATCCCTGAGGTCCCCAATGTGAGGCAAGCTAGGGGGGTTCGGGGAAAATTTTGATTTATCTGATCTACATATGTGCATTTTAAGATGTTTTGAAGGCCAAAAAAATTGGATAACAACAGCTTTAAAACCATGTCAGTGGGCAGCTGATTTTTTTTCTCCTCATAAGCATCACACTCACTTTCTTTTTGTTTTTTTATCTTGTTCTGTAGCTTCCCCTCCTAAAGCTGAGATTTG